ACGAAAATGACCTGACCTCATATGACCTTTAGGAAAAATCCGAGATAACCAAGTTGTGATACTCGTAAGGGATACTAGATCCTGCAAGTTTTATTTCCCTGTGAAATCTCCTCTGCCAGTGAGGGCGTTGCGAAGTTGCGACATCTGAAGACCGTGTAGAGGTTCACTTATGATGTCATGTCAGTGACCTGGGCGGTGTTTCACGGCAGAGCGCTGCGAGCGTCGGTGCGTTGAGTTTCTATGGCAATATCAACAAACTCCACTCTGACGCTACGCTATGACGTCATCGTAAAACGCTAGCACCCCAGCGCCAGCACCATCAGCACGCTGACAGCAATCGCACTCAATCCTCTGTTCTCTCTGTACTTTGCTCCTTAGGACGTCCTCTGTTCTAAACGCGACCATCATAAGCTAACGGATCGCACGCAACGTCATTCGAGTGACGTCAGGGGTATGCCTCAGCTCCCAGCGCGCTGCAGCGCGCGCAGCGTCGGGCGGTGAAACAGGGCCCAGATAATGCGGTTGGTGTCAAAAGATCCGGCTTGAATCAAAGGTCAGGTATGCCAAGTTTCAGCTTTCTGTCGCCAGCGTGTTTGGAGCTATCGCGAAAAAAAAACTATGGCGGGGGCGGCACCCCCCTCGGCCCGCGAGGGTTAACGTGACCGCCATCGTTTCCCATCCACTTTAAGCTTAGTTGTGCACCTCGCCGTGATCCCCCCATCGTTTTCGATCACTTTCTCGAGGCGCTCGCGGTACGTCAGCGCGGCTTTCTTGCGCAACACAACTGAAGGTGAATGGGAAACGATAAGGATCACGTCGAAGTGCACAACTGAGCTGAAAGTGAATAATTTGTCGGAAACTTGGACGAATGTAACTCCAAATGTGTGCCTACACTGTGTGAAAATATTGTCCAATTTGGTAAAGAATGAATGAAGTTATTCAAGTTTCAAATCGGGAAATGTACGTGCACCACGTCCGTCCCTGTATATCCTGTGGTGTCCTTAACTGCAACATAGAGTTAGGAGCAACCACATTTAATCATAATGCTGGTGGTATCTGGAAAACAATTGCAGGCATGGAGCAGATACTTTTTGCTGATGCACCAAAAACTTACTCAAACTTACCTTCATCTCATCGAACATGAGGATGCAGAGCCTCTCTCTGGCCGGACGGTCCCGCAGGTATGTAACGGAAGTTAGCCCACATTCAGCCCACATTCGGCCCAGCCCAGATTGGGGCTGCCAAATCTAGGGAAAAATATAAAAATCTAGGGAAAAATCTAAAAACCGTTTTACGCCTAAACGGCTGAGCGAAACTGAAAAATAAGACCACCATTAGAAAGACCTCTTCACCCCGGACCTAATGATATGGTTAAATAACGGATCAATGTAACCAAAAACATGATTTACCCAGGATGAAAATTTTCGGTCAATGGGGCGGCCCCTACGATTTTCTTCAAAATCGGCATGGTGATACTACAGGCCGAGGTGATCAATCTGGCTGAAGAAACCCCTATGGGCATTGAAATATATGGGGTAAAAACGCCCTTGGAAAGTTTTACCCACGAATTTCTGGCAAGTGTATTGCACGCATCCCCCCCAATATGGGTATCATATGAAAGCCCATGAAGACCCAAACAAAATGATGGGGTTAAATTTACCCATTACCCCATCCAGGGTAAAGTTTACCCAAGATGAAAATTTTCGGTCAATTGGGCGGCCCCTACGATTTTCTTCAAAATCGGCATGGTGATACTACAGGCCGAGATGATCAATCTGGCTGAAGAAACCCCTATGGGCATTGAAATCTATGGGGTAAAAACGCCCCTGGAAAGTTTTACCCACGCATTTTTGGCAAGTGTATTGCACGCATCCCCCCAATATGGGTATCCTATGAAAGCCCAGGAAAGCCCAAACAAAATGGTGGGGTTAAATTTACCCATTACCCCATCCAGGGTAAAGTTTACCCAAGATGAAAATTTTCGGTCAATGGGGCGGCCCCTACGATTTTCTTCAAAATCAGCATGGTGATACTACAGGCCGAGATGATCAATCTGGCTGAAGAAACCCCTATGGGCATTGAAATCTATGGGGTAAAAACGCCCTTGGAAAGTTTTACCCACGCATTTCTGGCAAGTGTATTGCACGCATCCCCCCAAGATGGGTATCATATGAAAGCCCATGAAACCCCAAACAAAATGGTGGGGTAAAATTTAACCATTACCCCCATCCAAGGTAAAGTTTACCCAAGATGAAAATTTTCGGTCAATGGGGCGGCCCCTACGATTTTCTTCAAAATTGGCATGGTGATACTACAGGCCGAGATGATCAATCTGGCTGAAGAAACCCCTATGGGCATTGAAATCTATGGGGTAAAAACGCCCCTGGAAAGTTTTACCCACGCATTTCTGGCAAGTGTATTGCACGTATCCCCCCAATATGGGTATCATATGAAAGCCCATGAAAACCAAAAAAAATGGTGGGATTAAATTTACCCATTACCCCATTTTGGGTAAAGTTTACCCAAGATGAAAATTTTCGGTCAATGAGGCGGCCCCTACGATTTTCTTCAAAATCGGCATGGTGATACTACAGGCCGAGGTGATCAATCTGGCTGAAGAAACCCCTATGGGCATTGAAATATATGGGGTGAAAACGCCCTTGGAAAGTTTCACCCACGAATTTCTGGCAAGTGTATTGCACGCATCCCCCCAATATGGGTATCATATGAAAGCTTATGAAAACCCAAACAAAATGGTGGGGTAAAACTTACCCATTACCCCATCCAGGGTAAAGTTTACCCAAGATGAAAATTTTCGGTCAATGGGGCGGCCCCTACGATTTTCTTCAAAATCGGCATGGTGATACTACAGGCCGAGATGATCAATCTGGCTGAAGAAACCCCTATGGGCATTGAAATCTATGGGGTAAAAACGCCCTTGGAAAGTTTTACCCACGCATTTCTGGCAAGTGTATTGCACGCATCCTCCCAAGATGGGTATCATATGAAAGCCCATGAAAACCCAAACAAAATGGTGGGGTAAAATTTACCCATTACCCCATCCAGGGTAAAGTTTACCCAAGATGAAAATTTTCGGTCAATGGGGCGGCCCCTACGATTTTCTTCAAAATCGGCATGGTGATACTAAAGGCCGAGATGATCAATTTGGCTGAAGAAACCTCTATGGGCATTGAAATCTATGGGGTTAAAACGCCCCTGGAAAGTTTTACCCACGCCTTTCTGGCAAGTGTATTGCACGCATCCCCCCAATATGAGTATCATGTGAAAGCTTATGAAAACCCAAACAAAATGGTGGGGTAAAATTTACCCATTACCCCATCCAGGGTAAAAATTACCCAAGATGAAAACTTTCGGTCAATGGGGCGGCCCCTACGATTTTCTTCAAAATCGGCATGGTGATACTACACACATTTTGTTTGGGTTTTCATGGGCTTTCATATGATACCCATATTGGGGGGATGCGTGCAATACACTTGCCAGAAATTCGTGGGTAAAACTTTCCAAGGGCGTTTTACCCCATATATTTCAATGCCCATAGGGGTTTCTTCAGCCAGATTGATCACCTCGGCCTGTAGTATCACCATGCCGATTTTGAAGAAAATCGTAGGGGCCGTCCCATTGACCGAAAATTTTCATCTTGGGTAAACTTTACCCATGTTGGGGTAATGGGTAAAATTAACCCCACCATTTTGTTTGGGTTTTCATGGGCTTTCATATAATACCCATATTGGGGGGATGCGTGCAATACACTTGCCAGAAATGCGTGGGTAAAGCTTTCCAGGGGCGTTTTTACCCCATAGATTCCAATGCCCATAGGGGTTTCTTCAGCCAGATTGATCATTTCGGCCTGTAGTATCACCATGCCGATTTTGAAGAAAATCGTAAGGGCCGCCCTATTGACCGAAAATTTTCATCTTGGGTAAACTTTACCCAAAATGGGGTAATGGGTAAATTTAATCCCACCATTTTGTTAAGGTTTTCATGGGCTTTCATATGATACCCATATTGGGGGATGCGTGCAATACACTTGCCAGAAATGCGTGGGTAAAACTTTCCAGGGGCGTTTTTACCCCATAGATTTCAATGCCCATAGGGGTTTCTTCAGCCAGATTGATCATCTCGGCCTGTAGTATCACCATGCCGATTTTGAAGAAAATCGTAGTGGCCGCCCCATTGACCGAAAATTTTCATCTTGGGTAAATGTCGCAGACGCAGCAGCCGGCGCCGACTCGGTGACGTTTGTGCTTGTGCGTCACGAGCGCTCTATAGTGGACTGTATCTTGTTTCTGTGTGACTGGGCTTGGCTACTGGTCCATGGCATTTAGGTGACTGAAACGCAGACCCTCATAACAGGTACAAGGATGAGTAGGGATAGAGGCCACGATGGCGTGACTCGAGGGGAGGTTAAAGAGTCGCGCTGGCGCAACGGGGGTTCGTAGGACAGAGTCCACGATGGCGTGAACGGAGGTGAGGAATAGAGACCGTGATGGCACGATCGGGCGAGGTTGGGGCTGTGCCGGCCTACCTTTAAAAGAGATAAGGATAGAGGCCACGATGGCGTGACACGGGGAAGGTTAAAGAGTCGCGCTGGCGCAACGGGGGCTAGTAAGGACAGAGTCCACGATGGCGTGGACAGAGGGGAGGAATAGAGACCGTGATGGCACGATCGGGCGAGGTTTGGGCTGTGCCGACCTACCTTTAAGAGAGATACGGATAGAGGCCACGACGGCGTGACACGAGGGAAGGTTAAAGAGTCGCGCTGGCGCAACAGGGGCTAGTAAGGACAGAGTCCACGATGGCGTGAACAGAGGTGAGGAATAGAGACCGTGATGGCACGATCGGGCGAGGTATAGGGAGGAGGGTAATTCTGCGTTTGAAGTGTAAGTGAAGTGAAGTGTAACTGGAATGTTTACTGTGCCGCTATCTTGATTCTCTCACTCCTCGCTCTCGGTGATCACTTCCTTTGTCACACCACTGCACTGATTTCACAGTCTGTATTGCAAAGAGCAAGATCCGGCAAACCAATTACACTGCTTGAAGGCTGCGACGAGCGGAACGAAACAACCGCCCGGCTCGACGACTGAGGCAGAACAGAGAGAAACTTGAGTATACTGTGCCGCTAACTTGAAGTCTTTTGCTCAATCGCTCCAGGTGACCACTTCCTTGGACACACCACTGCACTGATTCACAGTCTATGTTGCGATGAACAAAGAGCCGGCAGAAAACCACCACACTGCGTGGAGGTTGAGCCGAGCGGAGCGAACAACCGCACGGCGCGAAGACTGGGAGAGAACAGAGGGAGGGAGGTGTTTACAGCAGGTTTAAATACGACTGGCAATGGGGTCACACACAGGGGAGATAGCGAGGGAGCAAAGCAAACGGTATTAGGCAAACTAACTGGACGCGACGAACCGGAGATAAAGAAAGAGATAGGGCGCGACGCAGCGCGCCAGCGGCCGCCGGGACGGACGCAGCGCGCTAAACAAACGTAACCGGGCCCGCCGCGCCGACCACGTTCCCCGTGAACAAAGCTATCGGCGGGCGTCGCCGCGAGAGGGGTCAGGTCCTGCACACACAGGTGCGCGCAAAACACCCCCACTGGGGAGGGGGGGGGGGAACGGCGCGGCGGCCCGCTCGGCTGACCCACCGGCCGCCCGCCACCCTGCTCGCGAGACGGGCGACAGGACAGTTTTGGCGGTCACATCCCGCCCCCCGTGTTCGACTCTATGAGAACACTAAACTCTGTACCGCCACTGATATATCGGCTGGTAGAAGGCCTCGACGGGGCGGAATCCGGACCGGGCGAGCAATCGGCAGTTCTCACATATTTACACATATTTACATTACTGTTCACAGCAGTTGCTCACTGTTCTCCCATCACCGCGATCTGGGCGACGGCCATCTGCCCGCTTATCCTCCCGCTGTCTTGATCTGGACAGAACGGACTCTTCGATCTGGTCCCGGGAACACCTGGGTCATGCGGGCGAGCGGACGCGTAGCTGGCGGTGTGTTGGAGTCGGCGAGGAGCGCTGGATCTCCGGCGAGCACGCTCTTGATGCCCCTCCGTCTGTTGCGTGGCTGGGGCGAGGGCATGTACCGCCCGCGTTGCTGCTGCTGCTGCTGCTGCTGCTGCTGCTGCTGCCTGTCGCGGAGACTCTGAGACGAGGGCATGCACCGCCCCCGGTGCTGCTGCTGCCGCTGATGCTTTCTGTTGCGCGGGCTCTTGGACGAGGGCATGCACCGCCCCCGTAAGGGCCCAGCCGAAGTCGGTTCGGATGGCGACTGGCTGCCCTGGTGGTCCAGCTCTCACCTCGTGCTGGATCACAGCTTCGAGAACGTTGGCACCCAGAAGCAGCTGCACTTCGCCTTTGGAACAGTCTTGCACATCTAGGTTCTCCAGGTGACGCCATGTTTGTCGGTGCCGTTCGCTGATTCGTGGCACAGAGATGTTCATCTTCGGTACGGCCCACACCTCGGATAATGTTATCCGCTTCTCGCTGGCCTCAGGGGATAGACCTTGCACTTCCATTACCAGCTTCCTGGCCACTTGCCCCTTTCCGGTACCTTGAATCGTCTGCATGCATAGTTCCTGCGGCTCGCCTGAGATGCCCAGCTTGTCCGCTAATTTCTGACTGCATAGGGATGTCTGGGCGCCAGGGTCTAGTAGAGCCAGCGTGTCTCTGGTTCCTGTCCTTCCAAAGACTCGGACTGAGACTACTTGCAGCAGCGTAACATTGCCTTCGTCCTCTTGATGGTGTCCCGAGGCTGTCACGACCCTCTTCTGCTTGGTTGCGAGACGTGTCCTCGAGACTGCTTCACCAGTCTCTCTCTCCGTTTCCGCGGTTGACACTTCGAGTGGCTGAGGCCTGACTGGCTGGCCGCCGTGGAGGAGAGCGTGGTGCCGGTACTTGCAGCCGTTCTTCCCACAGCGTTTTGCCTTCCGGCAGTCTTTCACGCGATGGCCCTTCTTCAGGCACCGGAAACATCGTTGCTCACCAAACACGTGCTTCAACCGGGCGTCGGGAGATTTTGCAGTGAACAGCTTGCACTGATCCAGATTGTGGTGTTCTCCGCAGAGAGAACATTCCTGTTTCTGAATGGGCCTCGCAGCCGTGGTAAAGGCCTGTCTGCTGACAGTCTCAACGGCGCTCTCCTTCCTGTGCTTACGGCTGGCTTCTTCAGAGCTCTGTTTTCCTTTTGGGCAGCTTCTGCTTATCTTGACTTGAGTCTGCAGCCACGCATCTACATCCAAAAGCGACGGTCTTCCAGGTTTCAGCTCCAAGGAGAACTTGCCCCACTCGCGCCTCAGCTCTCTTGGTAGTTTCTCCACTGTTCGCTGCAAGCTATTGCTGCTGTGCAGGTCTGCGCTCGCTCCTATGTTTCGCAGAATAGTGACCGCACAGTGCACGGTTGCTTGAAACCTTTCCAGTGATTCGGCGTCGTCTTCACGTGGGTCCGGAGCGTCGAAGATGCTGTTGAGGTTGTGCTGAATGACGTCATCGTCCTGGCCGAAACACTCTTCAAGCGCCTTTAGAGCTTGGTGGTAGAGAGTTCCGTCGTACAGCATGCCAGATATGGTCTGCTGTGCCAGGCCACTCACAGATGATTGTAGGTGGGCGATTTTCTCAGTGTCGGAGAGGGATGGTTGGTCATGGACCAGCGCCTTGAATAACCCAACCCACCTCGGCCATTCTGACGCCTTTCCGCTGAAGGTGGGAAGAGTTAGTCTTGGAATACTCTTTGTGAAGGCAGAAAACGCGGTCGCTCCATCTGTGCGCGGCGCCTGCTGCGAGCCTTGCAGTCCTTGTATCCATGACGTCGCGTTTCCCACCTTGCGTGATTCCGATCTTTCAACTGGCTCTTCAGGACGCACTCCCACTCGACGGGCCGCTCTGGTGATCGCTCCTTCACACACTGGTTGCACTTCAAGCTGACGGTTCCTTGTCACAACTTCTTCGGCTCCGAACAGGTCATCCTCAAAATCATTTCTTCTTTCCATTTGGAGGTCATCGCTGAGCTCTTTGCGCAGGTTGGCTTCTAGCTGGGCGGCTTCAGCTTCATCTACGGCGTCTTGTAGCTGTTTTCTCCTTTGAGCTTCCTTTTCTTGGCGCCGTCTCTCCTCTTCTTGCTTCTGCTGAATTCGTCGTCTCTCCTCTTCTTGCTTCTGCTGAATTCGTCGTCTCTCCTCTTCTTGCTTCTCTTGAATTCGTCGTCTCTCCTCTTCTTGCTTCTCTTGAATTCGTCGTCTCTCCTCTTCTTGCTTCTCTTGAATTCGTCGTCTCTCCTCTTCTTGCTTCTCTTGAAGCCGCTCCTCTTCTTGGTTGCGCTTCAGCTGCTGTAGACGTAAAGACTTCAACTTTGCAGCGACTTCTGCTTCAACTTGCAAAGCTTTCAAAGCGTCACTTGTGTTGCTTCTTTGGGCGGCAGATACATGAGAGCCGGCTTCTGATGGCGCCTCATCTTTGCGCTCAGCGAGGTGCTGAGCGATTCTTTCCCCAATTTCCTCTCTGTCGTGCTCAGCTTTTGCGCAATATGCTTCTGCCTCAGCCCTTTCAGTTTGAGATGTCAGACAGGCTTCTAAAGCTTCATTTGCTGCGATGACACCTTCCAGGGTCGAGTCAATGGTTTCCAACAAACCTTCTAGGCGCGACCGACTCCCACGAGCTGCGATGATCGCTTCCGCTCGGTGACACGCCCGTGAGAATGCTGCCAACTTTTGCCCCCGTTTCCGGCGCAGCAGTTTCAAGTTTTCACTGACTGCTTCTTGACGAGCTTCTTCCTGGACGCTCTCTTCTTGCTCGGCTGCGCCGGGCTGATCTGTACCTTCTGTTTCTGACATGCTGCGGGCTCTATCCGGCCCGGAGGACCAGTTAAATGTCGCAGACGCAGCAGCCGGCGCCGACTCGGTGACGTTTGTGCCTGTGCGTCACGAGCGCTCTATAGTGGACTGTATCTTGTTTCTGTGTGACTGGGCTTGGCTACTGGTCCATGGCATTTAGGTGACTGAAACGCAGACCCTCATAACAGGTACAAGGATGAGTAGGGATAGAGGCCACGATGGCGTGACTCGAGGGGAGGTTAAAGAGTCGCGCTGGCGCAACGGGGGTTCGTAGGACAGAGTCCACGATGGCGTGAACGGAGGTGAGGAATAGAGACCGTGATGGCACGATCGGGCGAGGTTGGGGCTGTGCCGGCCTACCTTTAAAAGAGATAAGGATAGAGGCCACGATGGCGTGACACGGGGAAGGTTAAAGAGTCGCGCTGGCGCAACGGGGGCTAGTAAGGACAGAGTCCACGATGGCGTGGACAGAGGGGAGGAATAGAGACCGTGATGGCACGATCGGGCGAGGTTTGGGCTGTGCCGACCTACCTTTAAGAGAGATACGGATAGAGGCCACGATGGCGTGACACGAGGGAAGGTTAAAGAGTCGCGCTGGCGCAACAGGGGCTAGTAAGGACAGAGTCCACGATGGCGTGAACAGAGGTGAGGAATAGAGACCGTGATGGCACGATCGGGCGAGGTATAGGGAGGAGGGTAATTCTGCGTTTGAAGTGTAAGTGAAGTGAAGTGTAACTGGAATGTATACTGTGCCGCTATCTTGATTCTCTCACTCCTCGCTCTCGGTGATCACTTCCTTTGTCACACCACTGCACTGATTTCACAGTCTGTATTGCAAAGAGCAAGATCCGGCAAACCAATTACACTGCTTGAAGGCTGCGACGAGCGGAACGAAACAACCGCCCGGCTCGACGACTGAGGCAGAACAGAGAGAAACTTGAGTATACTGTGCCGCTAACTTGAAGTCTTTTGCTCAATCGCTCCAGGTGACCACTTCCTTGGACACACCACTGCACTGATTCACAGTCTATGTTGCGATGAACAAAGAGCCGGCAGAAAACCACCACACTGCGTGGAGGTTGAGCCGAGCGGAGCGAACAACCGCACGGCGCGAAGACTGGGAGAGAACAGAGGGAGGGAGGTGTTTACAGCAGGTTTAAATACGACTGGCAATGGGGTCACACACAGGGGAGATAGCGAGGGAGCAAAGCAAACGGTATTAGGCAAACTAACTGGACGCGACGAACCGGAGATAAAGAAAGAGATAGGGCGCGACGCAGCGCGCCAGCGGCCGCCGGGACGGACGCAGCGCGCTAAACAAACGTAACCGGGCCCGCCGCGCCGACCACGTTCCCCGTGAACAAAGCTATCGGCGGGCGTCGCCGCGAGAGGGGTCAGGTCCTGCACACACAGGTGCGCGCAAAACACCCCCACTGGGGAGGGGGGGGGGGAACGGCGCGGCGGCCCGCTCGGCTGACCCACCGGCCGCCCGCCACCCTGCTCGCGAGACGGGCGACAGGACAGTTTTGGCGGTCACAGTAAACTTTACCCTGGATGGGGTAATGGGTAAATTTTACCCCATTATTTTGTTTGGGTTTTCATGGGCTTTAATATGATACCCATCTTGGGGGGATGCGTGCAATACACTTGCCAGAAATGCGTGGGTAAAACTTTCCAAGGGCGTTTTTACCCCATAGATTTCAATGCCCATAGGGGTTTCTTCAGCCAGATTGATCATCTCGGCCTGTAGTATCACCATGCCGATTTTGAAGAAAATCATAGGGGCCGCCCCATTGACCGAAAACACTATGCAACAAAAAATGAAACATTTTCTGTTCCTGGAAAGCGACCGAATTTTTCTTATTCATTGGGTCCTATTATAACCGAAATGGTTATTAGTTTTGATCTGAAAATGCTTTTCCGGTTTTCAGAGACGATTTTCGATTTTCGGCCCCGAAATTCGGTTTTTGGCCCACCGTGTCCGATGTAATTGAGTAATCGACTCGCGGTAACTTTCATCGCCTTTCCTATGCCACAGGCTTTCGAATGATATCTGGTTTTGCATATTTGCGTGCAAAAATAACGTCATAAATCTATGTTAAAGTAAGAAAATGTTGAAATTTTGTAAAAATTTGACATTTTTTTCGATTTCATTTCAAAATAGAGGAAAAACTAAAGGCCCTATCCAAATTCTGAGCCCAGTTCCTTGAAGAGCATTCAATTTCCGTTCGGAAGGTACCTTTTTAGTGCATTTTATCGGATTCCTGTGGCGTCCAGATTGAGTTAACCTAAACACATATCCTAAGTCATATCACATAGCATTAACCTGATAACGTATGTTAACGCCATAGGATCAACGAGGGGTCAACTGAGGTCATGTTGTTGACCCCTTGTGACCTCGGGTCACACGCAGGAACTTATTTTTGAGCAGTCCTGTCGCTCAGAATCTTGATCTGTACCTCCATTTGTTTGAATGATTCTTCATGCACTGAACTCATATTGTCATGGAAATTGCTGGGGGCCCGTTGGTATGAGGATGGAGAGCGAAGTTCGCGCTATTTTTTTAATTTGGAGAAAAGAAATTTTGAAAGTAAAGTTATTCCTTGCTTGGATGTGAATGGTAGACAATTACGAAGTACTGACGATATTCTTGATGTTCTTTCAAATCATTTTGAAAATTTATTCAAAAAGCATGACTGTTTCTCGGAATCAGAGGTGGTACATTACCTCCACAAAATGGAATGTCCAAAACTGACAAAAAAATGAGGCTGAATTACTAGATAAAGATATAACGGTCGAAGAATTAGGGGAAACGCTGAAAAAACTCAAATAATAGAAGTCCTGGCTCTGATGGATTTCCGTATGAATTTTACAAAGTATTTTGGGGAGAAATAAAGTACTTTGTTTACAAATCGCTAAGATATGGATTATCTAAAGGATCGCTTTCAGTCAGTCAACGGGAAGGCCTAATTACTTTAGTTCCAAAACCATCAAAACCACGAAATTTAATTAGTAGTTGGCGTCCGATTACGCTCCTAAACTCAACGTACAAGATTCTCTCCGCAACCATAGCAAACCGCCTCAAACAAGTTCTAAATTCTATAATTCATTAGGATCAAGTGGCGCTCTTAAAGAAACGATTTATTGGTGAGAACACCCGAGTTGTATATGATGTATTATGGGAAAGCCAGAAAAACAATCAGGATGGCATGCTTTTGTCTGTAGACTTCAAGTCCGCTTTTGACGTAATGAGCTGGAAGTTCTTGGAATTATGTTTGTTAAAGTTTAACTTTAGTTCTACTTTTATCCAAATTTTCCAATGTCTACACAAAGATAACATATCGCGCATAACTTACAATGGACACGCTTCAACGCGGCAGATAAATCTTGAAAGAGGTTGCCGACAGGGCGACCCAGTGTCATGCTACTTTTTTATCATAGGCGCTGAGATACTTGCAAATATAATAAGACATAGCAATATGATCAGAGGAATGAAAATACGTAATACAACAGTAAAAATAATTCAATATGCAGACGACACAACATTTTTCCTTGATGGATCTGAAGAAAGTTTGAGGAACGTTTTCAACGAGTTGGGCTGGTTCGCCAAATTCTCAGGTTTAAAGCCAAATGTAACAAAATGTCACGCAATGTCGTAGAAGAATAACCTTATGCTCACTATCTTTTAACAATCCGAAAATTAGCCTAAAATCAATGAATATATTTCGGAAACGTTCCTTCTTCAGTTCAAAAAGTTAACTATACTAGACAATCGATCTATTGAGTAGTCGGCTGTGTACACCTTGCATGTTAGTTGTAATTATATTGTGTGTTTCTAAGATGACTAGCATAGTAATTGTTGGGTCACAAGTGATCTCATACAGTTGTATTTGGTTACGCTACCTTATGTATACCTGTTATTTTAGTCTTGCGTTGATTAAAAGAGGCCGTTCTACTTATATGGCACGAGAATGTGACTAATATTCGTTGGTGGGATCAGTTAATTCGGCGCTTTTGTGACGTTCAATTATTTCTGTGGCTTGTATAGTTAACTTTTTGAACTGAAGAAGGAACGTTTCCGAAATATATTCATTGATTTTAGGCTAATTTTCGGATTGTTAAAAGATAGTGAGCATAAGGTTATTCTTCTACGACATTCAATAATGCTGCTCATTTTAGTACTTCGCCATCTTATTAAAATGTCACGCAATGTGGATTGGAAAAAAGGCACTTGAAGAAAACATTATTTGCCCTGATATTGAATTAAGATGGGTAACAAAACTGAAGTTACTCGGTATTGTTTTTAACCCGTTGTGTTCAAATATCACGGAAGAAAATATACAGCTAAAAAAAGACGATGTTAAGAATAATCAGAACATGGCAAAGCCGCAACCTAACACTGGTTGGAAAAATTGTCATAGTTAAATCTCTTTTGCTATCACAAATAACTCATATTCTTGCCTCCCTACCAAATCCTTGTCAAAAAAACAATGAAG